TTTTTTTTTTACTTATTTTTTTTTAACTTATTTATTTTTTTATTTTATTTTTAAAAATTTTTTTCTTAATTCATTTGTTTATTAATTTATTTTTTGGCCTGTGGGTGGGGTTGGGGGATGACAGAACTGTGACACTGAGTTTGTATTTACACTTTGAATTTGTCCCAACAATGTCTGTCTTCAGTTCAAAATGTTCAATAAAAAAGTTAAAAAAAAAAAAAAAAAAGATAAGAATATCATAGGAAACTCACCATTCATCCTCTAAATAACGCACCAAAGATAAATAGACGAAAAGATAAAGACAAGGTGGTCAGAGGGAGAATTCTTTCCAATCTTGCCATTATCTTTTCCCTTTTTTTTCCCCAAAGAAAAAAGAGGATCCATTACGCTAACGGCACATTAGCAGGTCACACAACAAGCACTTTGTTTCTGCCTTTAAAAGCAAACCAGACATCCAAAATCCCATGACAGGAGGGGGAACTTCTTGGTCTGTTGGAGGTGACTAGAGTGGAGTGGAAGGGGCCCTGATAGCTGGGAAGAATTTAAACAAAAGTATTTTTCCCCCTCAAAGCTGCCATCTTTCAGTCTGACGGGTCCTGTAAACATCATTCCTGCTCACGTTATGAGACACGCAACTCTGCATTCCTTTAGCACCTTTAAAACACGGGAAAATATAGTGTGTGTTTATCAGGAGCTGGATCATTTATATTAAAGTTGTATTTTTAGACCTTATCTAGAACTTTGTATCTAGATCTTTGCAAAAACACGAAGAAAAAAATACCACAAACTGTTATGTTCTCTTTCAAAGAGGGTGAAATATGATTGATACGTGTTTCGTGTGAGGTCTTTTTGGCCTTTCTTGGGGATTTAAAAATACTTTAGGGATGTTGCAACAGGCCTTTTCCCACCACTGACCTTAAAAGCTGGACGCATGCTTTTGGTTTGTATATAAAAATGCATACCTTGGCAAAAAGCAGAGGAGGGAATGTACGCTATGTCCAACCGATCTCTACCTGGAGGGAGGGGGCCCGTCTAAAAAGCATGAGTCATAAAGGTAATTTCCCCTTTATCCGCAGTTAAATAATCACATGGAATAAGTCTCTTTGTTTTTAAATATAGTCCTCATTTTATTAACAGAGGCCAAATAAAATTCATCACATTTTATTTACAAAGGGAGGCAATAAATATCTTAATATAGTCATAAAATTATTTTTTTTGCTTACATTTGTTTTAAAAAAACATAAATGTGTCATGTTGTTAGTAGCAACTCATACAAAAACCTGCCGTTGGACAGGCGAAAACACAAAACGGGTGAAGAGAGGCCGGAGTTTCTGTCAGTGAGAAGCGAAAACGTTTCCCGTTCGGATTCATTTATGAACTCTGCGTTACCTCGAATGTTCCCTGAATCCTGTCATCTGCGTGTGGTTTTTTTCCCAAAAAGTCTGTGGATGACTGATGTCACAGGGCTAAGACCAACCCCCAAATCCCACCCAATACCCCCAAATCGCCCCATAAGCATCTTCCAGTGAGAATAAAAGGAGCAAAAGAGCTCACAGTCAAAAAAAATTGAAAAAAAATTGAAAAATAATAATAAAGAACCAACTGAGCCGACAGTCAGAGGAGATTAAAAGAAAAAAAATAGAACGAGGAGGTAGAGGAAGTCATCAAAAGTCCCAAAAAAATGTCTCGATGTCCTTCTGTGAAACGCCATCAACACTAGTGAGGAAAACTGAAAGGAAAAGGACTCCAAGAGGATTCAAAAAGGGGATTAGCATCCGTCCCCAAATTAAAGTTGGAAGACTTGTGAATCGCACATAAGCTGTTGTGTTTTCCGTTTTTGTTTGTGTTGTTTTTTTGAGGGGGTTTAAACAAATATAAGGACTATTCAGAGCATGCTGGAGCTGTAAAATATTGCACTCAAAGCTACGCAGTCATCCCGGCAGCACCTCTCTCCGGTCCGTCGCCACGGCGACCGATTCCACTGGAAGGATTGGGATCCGCGTCGTCGGGGGCAACGCAAACAGAAAAAAAAAAAAAAAAAAAACGACAGGTATTCCAATAAAAATCTCTCGATCGGCTGGTTTTTACGGCGTCGAAAAAAAATAAAAAAGGAAAAAAGGAGTTCTCTCAGAGATTCCTTTTAGCGTATCCAGAATATAAATAACACGACACATCGAGCCAAGAAGAAGAATCCGAGAACCGGGAAAGATTCGAAACTTCCTGAAATACAAAAATAAAACATCTTTGCCTTTTTTTGTTGTTGTTTCATTTTGTTCTTTTAAACTGTCTTTTTTTTCTCTTACTGGTGTGAAGTCTTTTAAGGTGATTCTTTTAAGAAGCTTGAGATTTTTCAGTTCAGTTTTGGCCCCATTCGAAACCCCCCTTTTCCCATCCTTTATGGGAACGTCTAGTGCTGGTCCAATGGTTGGTTAGTTCCTCTTGGAGCTGGTTTTTAACCTGCGGGCCCTTCGAGTCCTCTTAGTGACGGTGGTAAAGCGGAACTCCTCCAGAGGGTCCACGCGGCCCTTGGGTTGCCGTTTCATAAAGTGGACTTCCTGCTGCCTCTGAGTGGTCCGGGAACCTTTTTTGGGTCTTCCTTTTCGGTTAAAGCCCAGGTACCAGCCCGTGTATTTGGCCGAAACCAGGGCCGTGTAGTTGTTCTCCAGGAACTCCTCGATGAAAACGCACTCCTGTTTGCTCCCGTCGGGCTGCGGAAAAAGAAGGAAAAAGACTTTATTAGTCAGTCTGTTCAAAGCTACTTAAAATGTACAGTGGAGCTGAATGACTTTCTCTTTAGAATCACGATTATCGTCATGTTACGAGGCAAATAAACCAAAAAAAGGGACAAAAGTAGTCAAACTATGAATAAATCTTTATATATACAGTGGGGAAAATAAGTATTTGACCCCTTGCTGATTTTGCAGGTTTGCCCACTTAC